TGCACATAGCTATCCCCTAAAAAGCAGTTCCACTGCAGTTGGTGGTTTTATTAGTACAATTCCCACTTAGGGCCTGTGGGACTTCACCTGGGGCTCATTTGTTAACAATAGGATTCACTGAATTTCACCTTCAGCCGTCTACAAATTAGACCCCTAGAGCTCAATTTTTCTTTAATAAATGCAGGAATCAATGCCATTTGAGTTGCCCTGGAGTATCAACATGGCCCAGGTTTAGGAAAGTGAATATAAGCCTTAAAGTGGGATTCAGCTTGCAGACTCATCCTTCTAAGCTTTGGGATCCTTAGCTGGGTATCTGGATGCACCAGCTCCTTATGCTTATATTATTTAGAGCCTTGAAATAGCCTAGGCTATCCCATGCTGGTGGTCACAAGTGTCCTACTCATTCTGCATCACATCTGCAAGCCCTTGGAATCATAGAATCTTTTGGGTTGGAAAAGACCTTTAAGATTATTGAGTCCAACTAATAACCCAGCACTGCCAAGTCCACCACTAAACCATGTCCCTAAGCGCCACATCTACACCTTTGTGGAGGTTTTGGAGGTTATAGGACATCTCAAACAGCTCTAGGTGCTTACATCTGGCAAAAAAATTCAGCTGTACTTGGCTACTTCAGGCCAGGCAGGATAACTCTGCTGCTGTTTACTGCTGCCCAACATGGGAGCTGAGGCTTTGGTGTACCTGGGTCTCTGAGCTGGCTGAGCAAGTCATCCAGGGCCTGACTGAATGGTCTAAACAGGGGTGCCTAGTGCCTTCTGAGATACCTGCAGTACTCTGAAACACCCACACAGGGCTGGCAGGTATGACAAAGGACCTAAAGGACACCTGTGCTCTTCTGTTACAGTGGTTGTAGCTGACAGGGTATCCTTGGGCACTTGGGGCAATACTTGGTGCCTCTACTAAGAAAACTGAATTTTGCTCCTGTTGTCCTCTTACAGCCATTGGAAAGGTAGTGACAGCTTCAGACAGCTCCTTTACTCCCTGTTCTTCAGATGGGAATAATTGTCTCCAGGCTGTATTTATGTTACCCTCTCCAGTAAAGATGTCTACAGGGTAAAGCAGCGGCCTCTGTCTGCTTTGAGGAGTGCTGGGCTGAGGCTGAGGTTCCTGAGCAGATGCACTGATATCTCAGCACCTCTAAAGTCTGTGGCCAACATACCTGTATGGCAACATGTGGCCTGAAACAGCACCTGTGCCTATTGCATAGAACAGCACATCACCTTCCTCTGTTATTGCTGCTGCTTATCCCTTTTTAACTGCATGGTGTCAGGTCTGTTAGGTTAACTCAGGTCTACTTCTGATTTCCAAATGGCCTCTCTTCTCTAAGAGGTCCCAGGTATTCCCCACTCCCCAGGTTGATCCTGACCCTTCTGCACTGTCTGCTTCAAAGCCAAGGGGCTTTAACTCCCATGTGCCCTAATGAAAGCACCTGTATCTGTTCAGAGGAGGATGACGAATGAAAAAATATTTTGCCTTCACCTATGCTTCCTATTGACCTTTAAATAATATAATATATACATATATATATATAAATAGACATGTGTTGCCCTGTTGTTCTCTCTGTCAACTCTACCTGAGTGAGAAGGGCAGGACAACTGCAAAAATTTGTGAGTATGTTTATTTTATCATTGAACTTAGGCTTTTGGAGATGGGAAATCTTCCAGTCATGCTGCAGAAAAAGGGGAAATGTCAAAAATTCTCTTCTTTCACATACTTACATGCCAGGAGAAGGCTCAAATGATTTCTGGTCCAACTCTGTAAAAGTCTACTTAGCTACTATTTTATTAAAGATATGGTAGCCCCAGGTCTAAGAATAGGGCAGAAAGCTCTGATCCATTGACACAGGCCCTTAGGAATATTTAAGCACACCAGCAGAATCCCAGATGGGAATGGGAAATGTGACATTCTCATGTTTGCACTCAAAAAGACAAGCAGGATGGCCCAGCCCATGGTTGGCTAGTTTGACATTGCTTTGGCAAAATAATGGACATATTGATATGGGCATAAAGACATTAAAGGAGAGGTAAACAATTAATGCCAATCAACATGTTTTTTAGGGGAGGAAGGGTTGTCAAACTGGATTTCATTCTTTGATGTGATTGTAGGTTTTGGCTGATAAAAGTAATTGCGAAGATGGAATATATTCTGACTTTTGTACGTTTGACAGCACAACAGATTCTGATTAAAAAATTAGCATTCTACTCTATCAATACAAGGCACATAAAATGGTTTAAGAATGGGCTGACATGTCAACAAAGAAGCTGTCAAAGGGGACTCACTGTAGGAGAGTATTTTTATAGAGGGGGTCTGAATGCTATTCAATATTTTCACTAATGAGTTGGAGGTAAATAGTCCTCTTCAACATTTTCCAATGTTATCAGCAGTTTTACTAAGAGCTAAACAAAAGGGCTCTTAGTGCAGTTGTGAGCAAGCTTTCAAGTTGAAGAACAGGCAAGCAGACCACACACAGAGGAACCTGGAGCACAACACATCTGAGAGGGATTTTGGCATACTAAAGGAACAACTAAAATAGTTTCTGCCAGTATGGATTTTTGTTGCTTTTGCATGTCATTTTTGCAAGGACTGATGCAATCCCTGACTGTGTCATTCAGAGGAGTAGACTAGGGATGAAATTTTTAATTTCTGCATGTTGCATCATTTGAATTGATGTTGAAATAATGCATTTGGCTCTGGTACCCCAAATTTAGAAAGAATGTTGGGGTGGGGAAAGAAGTTGTAGAAATAAAGCACACAAATTATTCAGGGACTAAAAAACCACTATTGTGTGTAGATGCTTCCAGAGCATGATATATTTATTTTATGAGCGAGGGATGAAAAGCAACTTGAGACCTGCTTATGAGTGTCTGTGGGGGAAAATGGCAGATGCAGAAAAGCTCTTTAATGTAGCAGATCTGAGCAGAGCCAGAACCTACAGAGAAAACATCTGCAGAAGCACGGGCAGGGATTCAGCAGAACATGCACCTCTGGGAAGGGGTGGACTTTCACCCCAACTCCCAGGGCCTTCAGAATTAAGATTAAAATCTTTTGTTTGTGTATTTATTGGTTTGATCAAACATGAGGTGAGGGAGAAACTGTTGACCATGTGAAAAGTGAGACCCGGTGATTTGCTGGTCCCCTCTAGCTCTCTACTGAAAGGCATGGAGCTGTGAGACTGTCAGTTCAAGGAGATGATAATTCCATTCCTTTCTTTCCTACAGGGCTTCGCCTCTGCTCTTCCTTTTGCCTCTGTCCAAAATGCCTCCCTTCCTCCCTCCCCTCTGTGCTCTCCATCCTGAGGCACTACACAATGCCAAGAGTAAAATGTTTCAAACCACTGGTTGGAGGGACGTGAGATAATGCTGGAAGTTTTGCCTGGCATGTTGTCAGGCAGGTTTTCAGAAGGGAAAACACCAGCAAAACTTTGTACCAGAAGTCAGCCCACTTTCCAGACTGACTCTGTCCCCTTTTGCTGGCAAGTCACGAATTTATGCATGTCCTGTGAGTAAGAGTCCCCAGAGCAGCCGGGGAGGCTGGGACACCACTCCCTGAAGTACCGTCTTGAGGAAACAAGTCTCCAAGATTCAAATGCTCCTTTGTTTATGAAATAAAGTCCACCAGACCTACTGCCAATTGTTTATGCTAAAGAGCACACTCCCATTAATGCTAATGGTGCTTTGGAGCATAAATCCTTGCTAATTGATATAGGAATGTATCCCAGAAGAGTTTACTTTACTGCTGATTTAGCTGATAGATATAAATGTGTGAGAGGGAAATATTAGCATTCATGTAAAACAATTAGGTTATCAACAGGGGCAAATGATTCAGAAAATGACTGCAACTTTCTAGTTCCCTTTAATGGAAAAAAAGAAAGTCTGCTAATGAGGAAAATCAGAGGGAATACAAATATGAACTAATCATTGCTATTATTTAATATTTGTGTTACATCAGCAGCCCGTGAAAACCAGGGCTGGGGCCCTGCCTGAGCTCTGTGCAGACAAGGGATGGACAGGACCATCCTGCTGCCCACCAAGGTCAATCCTCTCTGTGGCCTCTCTCTGGTGGAGCAGTATTTTGGGCTTACAAAGCTAACACACCTGGCCACCGGATGTTGGGCTCAGTAACATTTACTAAATACGTATGAATAGAGGAGAATGATACAAGCAGCGGAGAGATTTCCACAATTTAATTTTTTTTCCAGATAATATAATGGCATATGAAAAGTGAGGCAGTAATGCAGTTCAAAAGAAAAAAAAGAAAGCAACCCCTCTCCCCCCCCTTCCCTCATTCTCCTGGATCTTTCTGCCAAAGGCTGACATTATTGAAAGTTTGATAAATACAAGAATTACGGGCATTTCCATAAAAATCTGATTGTTTAAAATCTACAATTTTGTGGCAAATGTACAGCCATTGAAGGAATAATTTTTTCAGTGTACTCAACAGTTTCATCTATTCAATTCCCATTTAATTCATGGGTTTTGATGTGAAAATGTTTTCCTAAGAGAAGGCTCAGATACAGGAAATGTACAGTAAGCCACACATGTTCCCCCAAAAGATGCTTTGACCTCCAGTGTGGACTCTGTGGAATTTTGAGCATATGGGTTTTAATTTTTTAGCTCTAAACCCACCTAGAATGAGGAGGAAAAAAAGTCACACACCAAAAACTCTAGTATCATTTGTGACAGTAATATTGTTTCATGACATTTTCTGATTCACATATTTTAGCTGTTTTTTGATTTTAGTGCAAAACCAAGCACATTTGCTTCTGCAAATACAGAAGATCGAAATTTCTGCATTTTAGTCTCTTTTGCTGCAAGTCACTGAATGGTAAGACTTTTTCTCCCCACAGACTTCAGCAAGCCTAATTTTCAAAGTCTCTGTTATTAATGAAATATCAAGCAAATTAGGTAACATTTGCCTGGGCATGGTTAAAGACCATGCACCCAGTGAGATTTCATATAACAAAAAGCGCCCAACCCTAGAAACATTTTTTTTTTCCATTTAATGCTCATAAAATTTTACAGACAACAGAATCCTTTCTTAAGCTTTATTTAAGAAATCGAATACTATTATAGTTCAATATATATAAGACACATCCAGTATTGTGTTCCTGATAGCAAGTGCATAGATTTTGTTAAGATATCATTTTTATATTTAATTTTTTTTTTTTATTTGTTACTCAGTAGCACGTTTCATGATCACACGAAGGGATATTCCCAGTGATTTTGCTAAGAGCATGAGAGAAAAAACAGAACACAGCAAAGTAGTGAAACTACAACAGAGATGAGGAACAAAAACGATCAGGCAAACTATCAGTACAGTCGATTCCTGATAAGTGAATAATCTGATTGCTTGGTCACAATGCTTTATTCACTTATCAGGAATGATTCACACTACATTTTGTTAAACTGTTTTCCTTAGCCTAATACCTAAGAGTCACACTGGGCAAAGGCACACACACTCTGGCAGGCTATTCTTTAATCAGCAAGTCCTGTGACAGTTTGGTAATTTCCCATGGCGATACACATATAGCTAACAAAGAGACATTTTGCTAACACTGCAAGGTGCCTTACATAATTGAAATTAAAAGCATGCGTTTAAGCAGGACAAACTGTTCAGCTGCATTGCTTTAAGGAACTCGTTTTTCCCCATTGTTGAAATAAAATAATAAAAAGAATGAAAAAAAGAAAGAAAACCCTGTATCTTTCAGCCCTGAGTATTTAAAAGAAACCCAACTGCAGTTTAAGTCTTTTTTTTTTTTTTCAGTTGTATTTTTGGAAGAAAAGACCCTTCACAAAGCTCTAGTTTCTTTCCTTAAGACCAAGTTTGGAGGAAAAAAAAAGAGAAAAGAAAAAAAAATAAAGCATCCACAGCAAGCTAAAAAAACCCAGAGAGTAATTCTGATTCATCATTCATGCAAGTCAAGACTTACTTAACTGAATCCACTGATGTCAAAATTATCCAAATCGGGATCATAAACTCTAGAATTGTCAAAGACCCAGGATACAGTCTGACCACTGGGTTCTGCTTTCCTGCCTGGGCTGTCTGCTACAGGCTCCTGTGGTTTTAGATTAAACTTAGGGTTGCTTGGACCCCTGACCTCTGACAACAGACCCTGCGAGATGACACTGGAGCTTCTCTGGGGCCCCAGACTCATCGTTTATTTGCTTCTCATGGAAACGGAAAAGTGAAAAAAGGAAAAAAGAATTAAAAAAAAAAAATGCATTGAGCAGTAACAACCAGGCCAACTCACGAGCCACCAGAAAATTTCAAAAGTCTTCCAAAGGCAGGAACCAACGTTGCTGCTGACACCACACGGATACACTCAGTGCGCCAGGACCAATAAGACGGTATCGAGGGGGGCTGTGTGTGTGTGTGAGCCAAAGCCAGAGTGCCAGAAAGACCAGGGGAGAGGAGACAAGAGGGAGGAGTGTCATTTGGGTCTCATAAGAGCACTTTTAAGTGGTCTTCGATTCCTGAGCATCACAGAAAGTGGGACAAAGGAAAGGGATGGGGGCGTATGGCTTGAATTCCAGAGAGCACTCGCCAGTGCTTCTCTCTCCTCCTTGGGTTTGGTTTGGTTGGTTTTGTTTTGCTTTCCCCCCCCTCCAAATTGTAAAGTTTGTATCTGCGATCAAACAGAGGAGAGAAGAGACTTTTTGTAAACCAGAACAACATAGATTTTTCTTTTGCAGCTTTTATTTCATCGTGGTAGACACCGGCTGGGGGAGAGCAGAGAGATTCTTGTGAGGAGAAAAAAATTATAGGAAATGAAAGAATAAAAAAAGCTAAAAGCCAACTGTAAAAAATAATGAGAAAAAAAAGGGCTATGAAATTTCTTTAGTCCCTTTTGAGATTTGCGTAATACTATCAGCCAAGGCTGAGAATGATCTGCTTTGTAAGCCCACAGCAAAAATATCACCCATTGGAACAATGGGGGATCTTTTTTCAATCATTTATTTCTCCATCCTTTTATTTTTGTGTGTTTTTTTTTCTTTACTTCTGCTGGCTTTAATAGAAAGTCTTCCTGTGCTCCCTTTATTTTTTAAAGTATTATATGTATAACTGCACATAACAAGCTCGATCACCTGGTAGGCTTTTGCAGGCTCTCACAGCCTAGTTAAGACGTGATTAGTTTCTAAGGAGAGTTTGACTAACGCCATATGCCATCAGATTACTGTGCAGTTTGGAAGAAATCCCAAGGCTATATCCTCCTTTTCTTGAATGTTTCATGTGCTTCTGCGAAGTAGTGGCAGAGTATTATTTTTTTTTTTTTTAACAACTAGGAAGAACTGATCTCCATAATCCACATTTTCCAGACTGACTGAAATGTCACAGCAAAAAAAAACCCAAAACAACTTTTCCCGTGACTTCTGTGTGTTTGTGTGCAGAAGGTTTTGCAGTCCGAAGGCTAACAAAAGCTACCTTGAATAGGACTTTGCAAGAAGCTCATTTAAAATGCTTCCTGCTCCGAGAGATTATCCAAGTGATAAGGCATGACTAGGGGGAGGAAGAGAGAGAAAAAAAAAAATCAAAGAAACCAGAATATGTCTAAAATGTACAAATCCTCTTTTGCCCCCCAATCAGCTATTCACTTAGGTGGAATCGACTGTATCTTTTGTACACAACCAACAAATAGAGAAAAAAAAAAACAGGCACGTGAAACAGTGAGGTGTGTAGATGTATTACCAACACAGAATGACCACCAACAATACAACACACAAAGTAGAGAGACAAGTATTAGGAAAATGGTTTAATATTGGAGACAGAAGCAAAAAACTGCATCACACAATAACATACGTTACAAAAATAAGTCTGACTGTTTCAACTACACGGTTATGTTCACAATGAGGACAGAAGAATCAGAAAAAACTCTGATCTAAACAGCAAAAAAGCAAACCCCTAACGTTTTAACTAATACATTTATCCACGCAAAGTGACCGAGTACTCCTAATTCTAATTACCTTATTGTGTAACTGCACGATACAGAATAAAAAGTGAAACTTACCGCTTTTGTTAAGACAAAATTCTAAACACTAGATATAAGCAAAGGGAAAAAAAGAAATCAAGCCAAAGTTTTGAATTCTCGAAACAAAACCAACTCTCTTTCTACCGTCCAGAAATCAAACTTGAAAATCAGTCATGATCGAGGGGGCCCACGAGAGTAAGCCACAAAAATTTCCATTTGTTTTTTAATCTCCAGTATAAAAAGTTCCACTGGTACAAAATGCATAAGTACAATCAAGTTGTAGAAATAGGAAAGCCTGCTTTTTTTTTCATTTTTTTTTGTTCTTTTTTTTTTTTTGGCTCAAATTCCATCAAACAACAAAATCCAAATGCATCAATAAAACAGAAACAATACTCAAATGGTCTTACAGTTTCCACTAGATTGCATTAACTTTGGCTTTTCTCAGACAATACTTAAAAACTAGTTTGTAATTCTAAACAAAATGATAGTATTATTAATCTACAAACAACAATTCTCACAGCACAAAAAGAACACAAATACATAGGTTTGTTTTTTTTTTCTTTTTGTATGACATTATCCAAAAAGGTAATGAAACTACAGGATATTTTTTCCTTTTGTTAATTAGCACTTAAGATAATAAAAACAGAAACAGTAAAATGATTCCAGAGTAGCACAAGCCAAGGAACTGTAACCCCTATGGTGAAAGAAAGATGAACTTGTTACTCCTTTGAGGACTGCCATTTCATCGCAATTAGCTAATTTGTTTGAAAAAACAACTAGTCTAGTCTTTTGATTAGAATTTTGTAAAGCAATTTCCCTTGTTTTACTTCCTCTCTTATTAGGCCCTTGCACCCTTGCAGCTTTATCCTTTCAATATTTTGAAAGAGAACTGGTACATAATTTGTCTCCCAGGAGGTGTACGTTTGGGTTTTTGGTTTCGTACTTGAATTTTATTTTATTTTTTAATTTTTTTTCCCCCAAGATGGACTCTTTTCTAAGCAATGAGCCATCTCAGTTGCCTGGAAGTACAGAAACATTCCTCCTCTCCCACTGCTAAGCCAATGTCCTGTGGAGTGTAATTCAAGGCAGCCTGGTGCCGAATTACACTGCCTGAGGACCAGAAGCATCACCACTCTAACTGGACTGGTAAACCCACAGGACACACCAGGGCATCTAAAAAAGCTTTAGAAATTTAGACAGTGGGTACAATGAGAAATATTAGTGAAACAGTCTAAACAATCCAAATGATGATCTCATATTATATATATATATATGTACATATATATAATATAACGTACGTGAGATGATACTTTGAATACGCACAATTGCTGCAAGTAGTACAAAATAGCCCTCAAAGGGTGTAGGAAGGCCCCAGCAGTAGTAAAAACGTGAGAAAAGTGTAGATCATTTATTTATAAGTGCATGTGCTATAAGAAGGAAACTTTTTTGCATCACTAGAGGCTAGTCCTTTCCATCCCAGGGCTCTACGTAAAGAAGCATTTAAGTTGGGGATGAGAGACAAGAGTGCACCAGCTGATGTTGCTCATATAGGGCTTAGTTTTTTGAATTTGAGGCGGCTTCAAACAGAATTGGGTAGAACTAGGAGGTGGAAGAAGGTATGGCACTTTACGATGGGTAGCAGGTACTGCTGCTCACACGCATTGGGTTGGCAATGAATTCACTAGACCGGTGGCAAAGAACCGAATTTGGTTGTTGGTCACTACTTGTGCGGTAGAAATGCAACCTAATCAGACTTACAAGGCAGTGTAAAAAGGGCTACCAGCATCTCTTTTCTGGTTCCTCACACAGAGCTTCCTCCAGCAAACACCCACATCAGTCACCCAGATATTCCCATGGACTACTGGGACGAGTGAAGTCACTCCCCTCTGTATGAGTGTCTGCAGGAGTGAGCCAATATATTGCCGTGACAAATAATGGCAGATAACACCAAACATTACAGTGTATGTAAACTTTATCCACAAAAAGTAGTTTAACTGCAGTGCACACTGAATTTTCACCCAGGAAGATCTAGTGCATCTGATTTAAGCAAAAGTTCATTTATTTAAATTACAAAAATATTATTATTTTTTTCTTTTTTTTTTTTTTCCCCCTCAAGGTTTTCAAATGGTGGATTGACCGCTCCGGGCTGGGAGTGGCTCACACAATAGATAATTAAAGAATTGTTTTCTTTTTCTTTTATTTTATTAATACTGAATAGCATATTCCAGCAGCATATTAAAAGCTCTTTAAGAAAAGACAAAATCCCCAAAATCTAAAAAGGAAAACCACAAGTTAATTACTGTTTTAAATAATTTTAGTTATAGATACAGAAGAAATTTAGACAGCAGTAAAATATTTTTGTCCTTCAGATCTGCCCTGTGCATTGTTCTGATTTCAACCATGTATTAAATAAACCACAAAAAACTAAGTATATATATATTTATAGATATAGATATATATATAAAAATAAACAGCAAAATGGTGAATGTATAAAAGGTATTAACACTCAAGACAGCTCTGGGTGGAAAGGGTTAAAAGTTCAAAACTTTCTCACCTTAGAGGTTTCCATACAATATGAAGAAAATACATAGTGAGGTTTGCTTTCACAGCATTGATGTGTGCAGAGTGGTTAAAAAAGTGAAACATGGGCACTTATACAATGTTTTACAAAAAACATCAAAGAGAAATAACAAACAATAACAATTTCAGGCAACAAGACCACAGGATAGCAAGTTAACAAACTTTTTAACCTCTTTTTTCTTTAAATATTAGGGATTTATACAAAACACATAATAAAATACCCATGTTATCAAATTACTTCACACAAGAAACACACTGAAGCTCTAGGAAGAAAGTACCTTTGGAATTTGGCACTATAGTTTCACTGATTTTTTTTTTTCTTTAAAAGAAAAACCGATCACATTTTGCTGAACACAAACACACCTAAATTGTTCACAATAAAAAAATGACATCAATGCGTCACAAGCCAACACAAACTTATTCTGGAATATTTTTTCATTTTTCACATGAAATTATTTTTTTTTTTTAAGCAAACAACTTTTTTTTGTGTTTTTATTTTTTTGAATGTTGTTTTTGTTCTTGTTGTTCAAGTAAACCAATTTTAAACTCGTCTTTTATAAACATAGAACACTTAAGACCATAAGACTCATGATGAAACCACAACTTAATTCACAGAAGCACCAACGTAACACATTTTACAGTAACCTTTCTTCTGTACATTGAAACAGTATAAAATATAGGTAATTTCATGTGCATTAAACCATGGATTGTCTAACTGTGAGTCAGTTCAGCAAAAGGTGACACAAGTAGGTAGCATTTGCCCTAAAACAGGGTAAATATTTTCTTATACTAATCTACAAAAAGTGGTTCTATATATATACTTTAATGAGAAAGTGAGCCACCTAAAATGGCCTTATCAAAAAACTTTACACTGCCTGAAAAATGTAAAAACTATTACAGACCTCTAGAGACTTAAAATCAGACAGTTTTATTTCTCAAACTGTTTTGGAAGTAGTCTGTTAGAAACCAACATTCTGTGCCTCTGGACACATATTGCTATTGTCACCAGTGACCAGGCAGAATGCCAATCCCTGTATAATACTTTCAAGTCTGTTTTTTTTTTTTATTTTTTTTTTTACGAAATGAAAAAACGAAAACCAAAAACCAACCAAAAAAAACCCAAAACCAAAATAACCAAACCAAACAAAAAAAGAAAACAAAACCCAAAACAAAAATCCCAAACAAAAAAACTCCAAGGAAAGAAGAAAACCAAAAACCAAAAGAAAAAAAAAAAAGAACAGAAAAAAAAAAAAGGAAAGAAAGAAAAAACATTTTGCCACAGGTTGTTTTTAAATCCTATCATTAATTTATCTAATAATAAATTTCAGTCTTGCATGAATGCAGCAATGTTTTTTCACATTGACTTCCCAGAATTCATAGCTAGATGAGGTCACATGCAAATTTCAAAGGTCAAACTAGGTCAGTAGGAGAACCAAATATGATGTGAGGTCAGAAAGACATCAGAAACAATGACGGGACGATGAAACTTTTTTTTTTTTTTTTTTGAGACGCCACAGGGACATGCTAGGCAAACGATGGGCTAACGGGCATGGAGATGTCTAGGGAAAAAACAAGGAAGAGGAAAAAAAGTTACACAGAATCTATGCAGCACAAACAAAATCACTTTCATGGGTGCAGGAGAAAACCAATGCAAATCTTTCATCAGTAGAGCCTACGAGCCGTTCACATAATTTGCATTAACTCACAATACTTGTCAACAAGAGCACAATGGAACCCCAAAAGGATCCATCTGAAAGGAGCCAGAGAGAATGGATTCCTCTTTGGGGAGAAAAGAGAGGAAAGAACCAGTTTCTACAAATGTAACAGAAAGGTACAGGGAGGGGAGGGAAGGGTCAGACAACCAAACTTTAAACTAGGTAATGGAAACTACAAACAAAATAACCAGACAAATACAAACAAGAGGATAAAAGTATGAACTGTAAAGGGTGGAGGGTTCAACAGTGAAAAAGCGCCCATTCTTGGCACAATTACTCTAGAGACTACTTCAAAGGATCTAGCTAGCATAGAGAGCTGCTCTTTAGGTATCCAATAAGTTAACAATAGGCAATAAATAAATTCCATTATTTCTGAGGCAGTAAAAATTTTGTATAAAAATAGAAATGCTTTTTACAAATAAAATTTACAGGCCTGTGGCTTTCTTTTTTTTTATTATTATTAAATTTATCTCTCAAGAAACATCAAGTATTGTCACTCATTTTATTTTATTTTTTTTTATTTTAAACCCTGTAGCTTTAGAAACAGATCTCTAAATCTTTTTTACATTAATCCTTTCCAAAAAAAAACAAGAACTTAAAAAAAATGAAATATAAAGACGACCAGTGTAAAATCAGACTAATATATAACAATACGTTGATTTGAACCGAAAAAAAAATCAAATCTTCTCAAAAAACAAGTTGATGTAGTGGAAAGACTTGTTTCAATTTTTGTTGCAAAGTAAGTGCTTCAAACTGGCATGAGGCCATTTTGTTTAACCTATAAACTGCTGGTGCCACCCTGGTAAAATACGATCCATCCATAGAAAACAACTTTTATTGTGTGCTAATGGCACCAGGGTTCACAGAGTTAAATTGCACATTTTTTGTGTCTGTGTGTGTGTGCTGTTCTGAATTTCAAGACGTTTATTTTTGTTTCAAAAAGGAGATAAATTATGCTGCAAAACAAAATACAGTAACACAACTCAGTAATTACTTGGCAAGGAAATGGGAGCCAAGTGTAATAAGGACAAGTGGGGAAATGGAAGTGGTAACTGTAAAAATAACTGTCTCTTGGTGAAGGTTGGCTCTATGTTCTTTCTTAACCCCCCTGCAGAGGACAGGTTTGCTCATGGGACTTACCCTAAGAAAGCTAAAATAAGAGCAGTAAGCATCTGGGGTTAAGATCAGTAAGGTTTGCTGTCATTTTTGGAGCGTTTCAGCTGAACCTTCAAGCGTTTCATGCCAATCTGAAAGCCGTTCATAGCCTGGATAGCAGCTTGTGCAGAGACTGGATTGTCATAGCTAACAAAACCTAGGAGACACAGAACAGAGGTGGGAGAGAAAGTCAACTACAGGTTAGAACAAATGTCAGATGGTATTTTGTTAGGTTTTTTATTATCACTATTTGTTTGATACATTTACCTTGCTTTCAATTAGTTCTTTCAGCACATTTCATATCCCATTTCCTCTCCCATTTCCTTTGCCTTCCCCTTTACCTTCATAATATTTCTTTACTAGCTGGGATGCAGTTGGCCTGTTCTGGTGCAATGCAGTTTTCAAGTCTGTTATTTATCTACTTACCTTAGAGACTGAAGATATTTATTACTGTGGCACTTTTCAGTGTAATATCTACATACCTCCTAGACTATTAGGAAACACTATTTAGGCCAACCTGCAGATAGGAAGCTAAAACAGAAAGCCTGGCTACAGAATCAAACCCCAAACTCCCTATACCCATCGGTACACCTGGATGTGAGTTCACGTGTGATATGGAACACTCATCTCCTTGGACTCAGCCTAGGACAGTTGCAATATTAACATTTTGTATTTTTACAGCTCCTTCCAGTTCAAGATCTTAGGGTACATTAATGTTTGTTAATTCAGCCTCTTGGTCCCCAAAGGAGTGTGCAAAAATCAAAATTAAGCAGCATCATACAGACAATGGCAGGGCTTGATGAGAACTCCAGATCTGCTCCTCAGTTGCGAGCACTAACTAGGGGGATAATGCTTGCTAAGGTAATTCAGAATGGCTGGCCTGGCTCAGCTTTCTTTTCCCTGGGAGACTAGAAATGCTCTGTTCATAATATACTCAAATCTCCCTGATTCTGGAAGCTCAACATTCATTTTCATATCTGGGCCTCCCACTTGTAATTGCACAGCTCGCCTAACTGCTGCTCTGCCTCAGCTCGGACTAATTATTGCTACACTCAGCCTGCTGTTATGCATCTGCTTTGAAATGCTCCCTCTTCTTTCCACTTGAATTTGCCTTAACACATATCCCTTCATTCTCCTACAGCATGGATGCCACACACTTTGTTGCTAACACACAGGCTTTTCAGTGCCTCTCTTCCACAAACGAGCTTTATTCATTTGTGCTTAGTGTCTGCGTACTTTTTGGATCCATAACCTCTTTTTCCCATTACTTTAACCTATTCTTTTATGGCTTTTGCTGACCTTGCACTGCTGCCCTCTTCCACTTGCAGAGTCAGAATGTTACGCTTTCTCCATTACAAAGAAAAAACCCTGTTATCAAGTCATCTGGTCCTTGTCCAGCTGCTCTCCTTCATAGACCATCTCTATGGCCTCACCTTAAATCAGCTTCACCAAACTGTTTAGCTTAAGATGCTTCTCTGAACAACTCAGGCTCAGTTCTGTTCCTTCTACTCAGAAACACCTCCCACTTAAATCTCTGCAGACCTTCTCCTGGCCAAAGCCAATATGCTCTATCCATGTTGTTCTGTGTTGATTATTTGTTATCTCCTCAAGGGATAACAAATATTCCTCCATACCTTCCTTGGTTTTAGTAACTCTTGTCACTTACTTTCTCCACTAGATCATCACTGCTTAATGTAACTGCCATATCCTAGGAGCTTCATCACTCTTTTTCTTCCTTCCTTTCCCCTATTTTCTTCTAGGAGATCCTATCTGTTACCATGATTCCAATCACTGTCTTAGCTCTGCAGTCCTGTGTCTCCTTTCACAGCTCACAGATCTCAGCCTTGATCTCTAGGATTGCCTCAGGGATAGAAAAGTGAACTACCATGACTTGGAAGGCAGCAGTAGCACCTTCCAGGCAGGTGCTACACAACTGAGATGCAGCTACTCTCACCTACCTTGAGAATTCAGCATTTCCCTCTACAGCTTTCCTGACCTTCACTTTATTCTTTTAAATGCATTCAGAATGGTCTACTGCTATGAACTTCTCATCACCTTAGTTCCTTTTCTTCTTACCTAGTTTTATCCACCTTGAAGTTAAACTGGTGATTTACATCAGACACTTTGATGGTGAATGAAGAGAAGGAAGCTCACTCAGAGGTGGCTTTTCCACCCACCATTCATGTCACCAATTTAGACATCTCCACTGATGATAGAAGAACAATTAGCTCAGGCTATGCTTACCTTCTAGGGAGGTGAGACAAGTCACCTGATTCTGTGTCTCTTTAATAGCTTCCTTGACCCAGACACCCAATTCAAACACACATCTGTGCTGCATCAGTGGCATCAGCCCATATAATTCAATTGTTATTCTGATTCATAATTTCTCTCTTTACACAGAATGCTGTACCTGCATTAACCTGTTACACTCTCATCTTCTTCCTTATTGAGAACCTTCATTTATAAAGCTTACAGAGGAATCTGGCATTCCTTCCCTCTATTCGTATTTTTCTGATTGCACCCATTCATAATTTTTTGTCTGAATTTTAAACCACAGGTTACATGAGGTTGGGATGATGTTTCTTCTCATTTTGCGAAGTCCCTGTCATGACAATTCTGATTTTGAGTATAGAGATACTCTAGGTATCTCTATAATCAGGATTAATATTTTTAATCATTCAAGCAGCAATTTTGCTATGAGGCAGACTGCATTTATGCACTGATGTCACTGGGTCTCCCATCTCCTGCCTTACTTTTACATATTACATTTTACTTATTCTAAGATTTATGAAAGGTGAGAGATAAGCTTGAGGAGTCAAACCCTTTGTCTGCTGAGTCAACTAAAGCCCATGAGAACTCATGGAAGAGCACTCCCAGATGTAAACAGACTGTCCTGTCATCCTTATCACCATTAAATCCTTTGAGCATTCATTTTGAGGTGGACAAGAAAGCAAAGTCCACTTTCTGCAAAGAAAAGGAATTTTTCATTCTGAGAGGCAGTGTTACATGGAAGTTCATCGCTGTATGTCACTACCCTGTGACTCTCAGAATGCACCTTCCCTTCCCAGTTCTGCCAGTGGACAGACTTGGACAATCTTTACACCTTTTGGATGTTTAACCTGTTTTCATCTGCAATTTCATTTCCTCCTCCTTAGGGCAAGGGATTGGAAACTCCAGAGTAGAAAGCACTAAGCATCTGCAAACCATTACTATTATTATTACAAGGGAAAAAAAGACCAAAACAAAGCAACAAAAAACCTCAAACTCAAACTGTACCAAGAGCAATGACCATTAATGACACAGGAGAGAAATGGGTTCTTCAGCCCTAGTTTTTGGGTGAGAGGACAGAGAAAAAAAAAATAAAGCATTTTAAAACACAACTGTGAGACCGAAACAACGAAGACATAATTCCTACTAATAAAGCTGAGGAGGTACATACAGAGTATGCCAGTATGTTAAAACAGTAGGATTAATTCTGGCTTTGCCTGTGATTGGCAGCATCACCAAGTTGTCACCTACTGAATCGGAAAACCTCAACTTCCTCTGCTACTTCACTACTTTTAGTTTTTAAAGCAGAACTCTGTCCCTAGTGGCAGAATATCTGTGAAGGAACAATGAGAAATGGAAATATCAGTGAAAGCTGCCTAAAACCAAAAAGACAGAGGACTGCTACATCCATTGGCTGTTGACATCTTCGTTTTTCCTCAAAGAAGATAACCTTGGTGTATCACTCTAAGTTAGGTAAATTGTGTCCCATAAATCCAGACAAATATGTAAGTAGATAATCAAAGAATAAAAGGAAGACTATGAAAAGCAAGTATGGGAAGTGAGCTGATGAATTGAGCCACCTGCCCAAAGTAATTTACATTCTTTCAGCAGTCACCACAATTGCTGCATTTCGATTAACGTAGCTTGATTTGACATTTCATCAAGACTCCTGGAGACCTCAAAAATGATTTTGTATCTCCAACGTACTAACAGAACTGGCTCAAGATCAATAGGGAGTCCATTTCAATTCCACTTTTCAAATTTGCAACAGCCTGAGGGACTGTTTTAACCCACTGCAGACAAAGGCTGGACTATACTCATCTAGATATGAATAATTTTTTTGTAAAGCCTAAAGAGGTGAATGCTTCAAAAACAAATGGAAAGACTATGGGAAAATGCACAAAGAATGTCACACCCTTTCTATGAACCAAATCAACTTTCCAAGTGTACTAAAGGCTTGTCTTCAGGTGCAAAACACTCAGACAGTGACAAGGTATTGTGGTGCAGTAGGTACTTTTGAGTAACTTGATGAATCCTCATGTTTGGGTGCTGTCTGTTTAGTTATACTCAAATCCTTTCAAAACAGGTTAAAGCACAATACCTGTGGGGCACTTGAAAAGCCCTGGGGAAGACAAAGCCTTAGACAGACACATTTTGGCAAAACTTAGATTTAAAAAAAATAGTAATGTTATGCAAGCTAATAAACATGTATTATGGTTAATGGGGACACTTTACATGGGGACACTTCAGAACCAAGGGAAGGTGTTGGGCAAAGAGCAACACTGGTAGTACAAAGGAATTTTGGAAACTAGGGGGTTTTCTGAACTGGTTACTCCTTTGTCATATATACAGCTGAATTCCTTTACTCCAGGAAAGAATTGTCACTTTTAAGGAAGCTCCAATACTTCACATCAAACCTTATAAAACTTATCTTTAAGAGAGTCTTTCCTATTCCTAGATCCTCCCTATGTCTTGCATAAGACCACAATTATTAGACCAATGTTCTAACAGATTGCTACTCACTTACATTCCCTACTCCACTCCATCAAAGCACCAAATTGAACTTGTCCATCTCTGCTATTCAAAAGACATCAGCCCTCTTAGTCAACCCTAAAACTACTTTAATACAAACATATCATCTTCTCCTCTGCTGTAATCTAATTTTCTGACAGTTCAAAGTATTCCCTGGGAAACCTGTCACTGACCTTGTGAGGTTCCCTTCATCCCTGCCCTAAGGTAAGGGGAGATGCCACCTTCCATAATACACTGGAATCCACCCACAACAGCTGGAGCTGCACATCCAGACATCATTTGTCTGCAAAATGTTCTGAACTACATGCACACACCATTCAGTCACTAATTGCAAAACCTTGTACTTAATTCAGAAGAAAGAAATTCCTGTAATGTAGAAGTAATGGGTTAAACATAAATGTTTTTAAGTGGCTCAGCTATACAATAGAGAATAATTAGGTATCCATAATAAGGCAGTTTAATAGTATACTAAATGACATTCCCTCACACAGGGTGTAATTACTTTCGTGTACTTGACACATTCATGTGAGATGTCAGACTGGAAGATTATTATTGTTTTTTCATATCCAATTTTTAGTTAGAAGTAGTTTGTCTGTGCATCTTCCTGCTCATTTGAGGATTAACAGTCCATTATTATTGGAACGAGTTTCCAGTATGACATTTCTCACATTGCTGCTAATTTTCTTTCCTGGCCCCTTTTCAGTATAGTGCATGTGGTTTTTACTATTTGATTTATTAAATTTGACATACCAAAGCACTTGCTCAGATTGGTCTGTTTGTCAATGAAGACTTTAGCAGAGATAACATTTCCAAAAGGCATGAACATCTGCAGAATGTCCTGGTCTCCAAACTCCTGGGGGAGGTGGTAAATAAAGAGGTTTGCCCCTTCTGGACCTTTAGGAAAATAAAATAAATAAAAAAAAAAAGAAGTATGAAAACAGCCATCACAAGTGCTACATTTAATCTATTTTTCCATAATACTTACTGAAGATGATGGTCAGAAAGCATTTCATTTTCCAAATTCAAAGGAACAAAAGCAAGTGGAGTACATCAAAGGAGTACAGCTGAAATGCGGCTCTTTAGAGCATCCCATCTTGAAAAGTGTTTACTATGAAAAGCACTTATTTGTAATTCTACTACAGAAGTAATAAAATTCATTCCCTTTCTTCAATTTATATGAGTGTCTTGCAGTATAATTAGGGTTAGGAAAACATTGCTCTCTCAAAATACCCCAAGAACTGTACAAGGAGTCCTCTGCTGCCTCAAATGCCTGCATGGGTTTGTCGGTTTAATTCCAGTTGCAGGAACTTATGGGAAGGGAATGAGCTGAGCTCAGATTTCAGTACCACAGACTTAAACTCAAAGGGCAGGAAAATGGTGGAGATGGGAATAAAAGTAATAAGGCAAAGCACACCTTGTGACTTGGAAGTCAGTGAAGTCAGAGAGAGAAAGACACTCAGAATTAAATTTGTACTGACTCATTTCAAAATGAGCTTTTTTTTTTTTAAATACAAATTCCCCATAGAATGCTCTGTCTCCCGAAAGAAACTTTGTAAATTAAGTATTTTAAAGAAGTTCAAAATTACGTAGTTGGCTTGAAATTAAAGCAGCTTTAGACTGTTCAGTCTGCAGAGAGAGGTGCAAACTCAAAGGTGCTTTGGATGTTTGTCTTATGGACAGAAAGTTGTTGGTTAAAACATTCATCCTAGCACTAATAGGTTGTTTTTTTTCTCTAGCTCAAGTTTGCCTTTAGAGTAACATACTGGAAATGAGCAATGGATGCCAGGAAGAACATGATATATGATGGAGCCACACACTGGCCTCCCTGCCCTCCCCAGGCAGGCTCCAGAAGCATAAGTGGAACACAAAGGGAGCAAACATTTCTGGAAAAAACATTTGTAGAACAACCTGATTAAGTATTTCTTTGCTTAATGGAACTTAAATGCGCCTTGGATGTGATGTCCTTGGTATTCTGGAGAGGGAGAGGAAAGCGAACATCAGATTTATGAGTTCCTTCTGCCACTGAGCCACAAAGCCTCACCTCTTCCATACAGAAGAACCAGGCTGGCTGCTCTCTCAGCCTGAAGGAAAAGGTTGCAATGTTTGCCCAAAAGGAGGGGATAAATGGGTTAGGGGAAAAAAAACCCAACAACATTTTTTTGGGGGTGGGGAAAAAAAAAGATGAAAAAAAACTTGTCTCCTGGAACTTTTTCTTCTTACCTCAAGTAAACTATAATTTCCAGTAAACAATATTTCTTAAAATAGTAAGAAAAAAGCCTTATTAAACAATATTTAAGAGCAGATGCATGAGGCATGTAACAAAAAATACTATATTTTAAAAGGCTTGCTGCCAATTTCCAACAATAAAAAATAAGCCTAAATCTGATTAGAATGTTTCTAAAGAGAAAAAGATTAAAATAGAAAAAAATCAAACTGCCCTCCACTGTTTATCTTGCAGTGACACCAAATAAAGTATTTTTTTCTGGTGTCAAATAGTCTATTGTCACTGACCAAAGTGCCCAAGGTGAAAGACAGGTGCAGAAAACATAAACAAAAAAAAGAAAAAACAATTTAAAAAACCCTTTCATTTTAAATAATCCAAGCTGTTAGCAGTAAATGAAGGAGAGACATCAGACAAAATACACATTTTAAGCCCAGTGTCCCTATCTGGGGGAATGCCAAATTTGTCTTCCTAGGAAATGCATCCCATAACAGTACAAGATACTATTTCAAAAGAGGATAAAAAAGATTTCTCTTGAGGATATTATACTAGGTTTATTTTCAAAGCTTACCCCTGGCAAGGAACAGTAGTGACAACACAGATAAAGTCTTAGAAAGCATGCAGTATTTTCCTGTCTTTCTAGAACTAACTGGAAATTAGGATGAGAGAAAGCCAGGAAAAGAGAAACAAGCCCCCAGAATGCCTGGGAAGTGTGCAAGGGAAGGGAAGAGGGGAAAAGGGTAAACTCATTTTCCTAAACCCCTTGTAATTAATATTCATTTATTCTCAGCAACAACTTCCTGAGGTTTATTTGCTGTTGGCGCTGGGAGAGGGGGCAATCATTCACTTAGTTGCTTCCCCACAAGACCCACAATTAAGCAAAGAACCACTCAAAGTGAAAACGGATCTTGTCATTAGCTCAAAACCTTAAACTTAATCAGATTAACTCCATTATGATGGAATTTGGAAACCAGAAGAGAAAATTGCATCCATAAAGGGATGTTTTTTGTTAGCAGAGCCTTTTCATATGGTAGTTGGTAAATGCTTTTATATGAGCTCAGTTGGTCAGAGCATAGTGCTACTAACACCAGGGTTGTGGGTTTGATCCCCGTATGGGCCCTTCAGAGTTGGACTCAATGATCCTTGTGGGTCCCTTCCAACTCAGAATATTCTGTGAAATGAGAGGATGTCCTTATAGAAGGGAAATTTCAAGCTGAAGCTCTTATCCAGCAACAGGATTTGTGCAGCTCAGTCACTACATCTCAGGAGAGCTCTGCTGGGCTTGGAGAGTGTCTGCAAAAATCCAGCCAGATCAGACCTTAAAATTTCTATTCTTATTTAAAGAAGCTTTACAGGCCGTACTAATTTGAAGCCTGAGGTTAGTTCAGTTGGCCAGAGCATAGTGCTACTAACACCAAGGTTGTGGGTTTGAGTGCTAACACCAAAGGTGTGGGATTGATCTCTGTATGGGCCCTTCACTTAAGAGTTGGGTTCGATGATCCTTGTGGGTCCCTTCCAACTCAGAACATTCTGTGAAAGTGCAGTTTACTATTATTATTATTATTATTATTATTATTATTATTATTATTACTCAGAATATTCTATGAAATAAGAAAGGATGGTCGGCGAGGTGTAAGTTGAAGGACAGATGGTTAAAAAGCGAAGGTTAAAGAAGGCGACAACACTAAACAGGAGAAAACTGGAAGAAAACAAAAAGCCATAAATTAGACTCCTCTAGGTCTTTCACTACGTCCCCAAGGCGAAGACACCGCTGCGGCTTGGCTGCGGGTGACTCAGTGGTGTGGGCACTTACCTTCCTTCTGGCTGCCCGCGGCGCTTTGCTGCTGCAACAAGCTCTGGCTGTAGAGGGTGGGCAGCGCGGCGGCGGCGTACTGCTGGATTCCTGAGTAGGCCTGGGTGAGCGCGTCCATCGTGCCGGCCGTACCGTTCGTCAAGCCTGTCGCGCCGAGTCCTCCGTTCAGGGCCGCCATACCTGAGAGCATTTGAGCAACTTTACAAAAAACCCAACAATAGAGAAAAGAAATTGCACTTGTTCATTAGTGCTTTCCGAAAGTCGTTGGTTATTTATTTACGACACTTGACAACGACAGCGGCGCATGCAGCTCGGCACTCCACCAAAATGGGACTGAAAACAAAGAAACACGACTTTGGCGCCAGGGTCACTTCAGCACAAGGGTTGCACAGTCAAATGGACTCGCATGCAGCCTGCTACTGGCAAGTACTATAGCTTCTGAGAGCCTCTCTGCTCACCCTCCTCCACACCTGTGCTTCTGCTGTGGGTGTCTGAAGCTGGGAGAGTGGGACCTATTTGACCTGTATCCTTGTAAGTTGGGCACTGGGAAAAGTGGTCTGCTAGGAAACCCACTCCTTCTGACCAGGGGCTTCAGCAACAGGCCGTGACTATACCATATCAGAAGTGTTTTGCTTATCCAGAGAAAGCAGAAAACCCTGATTTAACCGCATTTTGAAACAACTTCTTAAAGGTCTTTTCCAACCTAAATGATTCTATGATAACTCTCTTTACAATTATGGGTTTTGTCCCTTAGGCTTGTGGTACGAAGATGGACTGTGATGCTCTGTGCTTACTTCCACCCTCCTCCTCCACTTACTCCACAAGAGATGAACAGCAGCACATCTACAGTGACTAAAAATGCTTCATCCAGACTAGGTATCTTTCATGAAGAAACAAAAGCATTTGTTTCTAGCAATGTCTTTCTTCTCATTGAAAGCAGAATCACTTCATTTTTCTTTTTTTTTTTTTAACTTAAAGCGATTCTACATCCTGATAAATAACAGAGTAATTTAACTGGGATGGCTGCTAGAGAGGAAATTTCAGGTGGGATTGCTAGCTATGTGGAAAATGGCACCCCTCATTCCTTCAAACAGTGTGGTCTGCAGAAGGAGTTGTACTACTCTGATACAAACTCCTGGGCTGCAGCCTCTCTCCATTGCTTCTGTTTCTCAGCATGGCTCCTAAATGAGTTATGCTGAGGTTAAAAGTCTTAACAATTATTTCAGAAATTCCAGAAAAAGTGGATTTTCTGTTAGAGCTGCAGTCTCTTGAAGTCAAAAGCGTGGCAGAGTTCAGAGCCCTGCTCATCTTCCACATGCCCAGCTTGTGTCAACCTGAGCAGTAAGTGCCCATCAGGACTGAGAGGCCATGTTTTCTGCACAAGTAGCTATCCCATGCACCCCAGCTTGTAAGTGAGAAGCTCACAAACAACTTAAAGAGCTTAGTCAGGCCCCTTGAGGTAGAGCAGATCAGTCACTAGAAAAATGGGGCACCCAGAATCACCAGAGATCATTTCTTGGACGTTGACTGTGCAGTGTTTTGGTTGGCAGAATGATGGGTGAAGAGGTGACTTCTTAATATGGTGGTGCCATATTAAGACTCCAAAACCAGGAACATGGACGAGAAAGAAAGGGCTTAATTTCAGAGCTGTAATAAGGGTTGGTACGTAAATTGGGGGAAAGTGGGGAAATTAGGCAGAAGACACTTTTAGTAAATTAACAATGAAACATATTAGACTGAGAAAAAATCTTGAAGGAAAATGGCATAAACCTTATCATATGAGCAATTTAGAGATAGTAAGAATACTGCAGGGAATTATCCTGCCTTGACAGAGGAGGATAAAGATGCTGACCCCAGTATCCTTCCATCTCTTATGTAGATTTGAAAAGCATATTCCTATGAGTCTCCAATAATCAGGACAATTGCTCAAGTGGCACCTTTCTGGCTCCACCAGAGTCTGTGCCAATTAAGAGAATTGTACTGCATAAATTATACCTTTTGATATTACTATAATTTGTGTGACTAAACACTTGACAGAGATGTGATATTCTTAGCCTTTCCTTAATAAAATGTCTCACACTTTGAAGATTTCTCTTTCCTCTCCACCCCACTTCAGAGCACCACTATACCCTGATGGGAGGTACTGGCTGCCACTGCTTTGAACAAAAATCTCTGTCAGAGCTCAAGAGACCTGTGTATTTCTTGTATAATGGTTCCAGTTACAAAACTGTATTGGGCTTGTGTGGCAGTGGAGGGGTTGCAGGGGTGGTTTCTCTGAGAAGCTGCAGAAGTTTTTCCTGTGTCCCACAGAGCCAATGCCAGCTCCAGGATGGACCCACCACTGACCAAGAGCCCATCAGTGATGGTGGTAGCACCCCTGGGGTAACATAGTTAAAAGGGGAAAAAACCCCCGTGAAATGGGAACTGCAGCCACAGAAGAGAAGAGTGAGAATATGTGAGAGAAACAGCCCTGCAGACACCCAGGTCAGTGAAGAGGGAAGGGAAGGAGGTGCTCCAGGCACCAGAGCTGAGATGCCCCTGCAGCCCGTGGTGCAGCTCCTGGAGGTCCATGGAGGAGCAGAGGTCCACCTGCAGCCGATGGAGGACACCACACTGGAGCAGGTGGATACCTGAAGGAGGCTGTGATGCTGTGGGAAGCCAATGCTCCTGGCAGGACCTGTGGACCTGTGCAGAGAGGAACCCTTCTGCTCCACACTGGAGTATGTTTGCTGTCAGGACTTGCGATCCCACAGGGGATCCACACTGGAACAGCTTGTTCCTGAAGGAACACCTGTGGATGGGATACTCGCTGGAGTAGTTTGTGAAGAAGTGGGAAGGGACCCACACTGGAGGAGTTGGTGGAGAACTGTCTCCTGTGTGGGGACTTGATGCTAGAGCAGAGGAAGAGTGTGAGGGGTCCAACCCCTGAGGAGGAAGGAGCAGCAGAGACAGCATGTGATGAACTGACCACAGATCCCATTCTCCATTCTCCTGTGCCACTGGAGGAGAGGAGGTGGAGAATTCAGGAATAAAGTTAAGCTTGGGAGGAAGTTAGGGGTGGGGAGAAGGTGTTTTTAAATTTGGTTTAATTTCTCATTACCCTACTCTGATTTGATTGGTAACAATTTAAACTAATTTCCGCAAGTCAGGTCTGTTCCACCCATGGTGGTAGTTGGTGAGTGATCTCTCCCTGCCCTTATCTCAACCCATGAGCCTTTTGTTGTATTTTCTCTCCCCTGCCCCTTTAGGAGGGGGAGTGATAGAGTGGTATTTAAAATATTATAATAACAAGAAAAATAACACCAATAACTTTTATAATAAATTATGTATAATATGCAATATATTACATATTATGTATTTAATACTACTGCTACTACTAATTTGATCCTGAGGCTGACCTTAATCTGCTCTGATGTTTTTGGACATAGGTTTGTGTCGCTGCTTGCATAGGGCTACACAGAGGGACGCTTAAAGTAGAGGTTCCTGATAAAGCAGCTTGTATCTCTCTTTTATTAGTGTTGAAATAACTTGATAACAGACATAACATTAGGATAACATGTTATCTTTTGTGAGTCATCAGCCTATTAGATAAACATGCTTTGTGTTGCAGTGGGCAGCATGCTCCCCCTTCTCTCCCCAAGAATCAATAGCCCCTTCCCACCAAGTGATTCCAGATTAGCAAATAGCCAGACAGCCCAGCTCAGGGCACTGCTTCTGGGAAGGGCACAGCCACTGCTGCCACAGTGCACGTGTCTAATACATCTCCCTTCTGAGCAAAACAGAGCTGCAGAAAGCTCTCCACGTTTTTTCTGTTCTGCCTTTTTACATTTTTATGACATCTACAAGGCCCAGCTGCAGTTACACATCTCTGCCATCTCTTTATTATCTCTACCAATGCACCTCCGTCTGACATTGAACTCTGGTCCCTTCCTCCCTGCTGTGAAATAACCTTTTGGAGCCTCTCATCTATGGCCTTCTACTTTTCTGAGTTTCTCTACATAATACAGAAGCAACAATGCTTGGCAAGTCCAAAGGTCTTTCAAAGTGTTTTCCAAGCACCTTCAAATCTGTCACGAATAGTTTTATCTCCATTTTACAGATGTAAATATGGGGGCAGAAAGGCTAAGTGATTGCCCTGGGGTCTCACACAAACACTGTGCCATAGCTGTTCAGTATACAGAAACTATGGTCTTCTTTCTTAATTGCAAAGAATCACTTCCTCCCTCTTTATTCATTTTTCCTCATTATTCATAATTCTTTTTGTTACTTAAAATTCTTAAATTTACATGCCCAAAGCAGATAGTCTAATGTCTTGTCATTTAAGGTTTTAGGTTCTTCAAGAACAACCGAGGGAAGACTGGGTGAATCCCCACATGTAGGTACCACTGCTGCAAAACCCTTGGAGACAGTTAAACTTACCATACTCCACTTTCTTTAATTTTTAAGCCTTCCAGACGGCTTTCTACAACACTTCACTCTCACTATCAGTCTCCACAGTCCAGCTTCTTTTTCATGGATCCAGACAGGATCCAGAAAACAGGTAAGAGTCTCCTAGTGAGTTCAGCATGGAAGACATTCTCCACATGATGCTCACATACAGAGCAGGACACCTCAATGCCTGAGCCCAGTGCTGCTCTCTGATTAATTTTTGGGTTACGCTCCCACTGACTTGTGCTTTGGATTTTCTAATTCCCCAATCAGAAGCATGTCACTCAATTCCAAATTCTCTGTACAATTACTTCAGGAACATCCATGGCCAATGAATGTTTTTACTGGAGTACTTATGACCATGGCATAAGCCATGTCAGGGTGAAACATCAGACTTATTGAACGTGAGGTTTCCCCAAGGCAAACTCCCAGGCAGGTTTGAGTGGGAATGACTGGATCAGACATAGTCACTGGGAAAAGTCCTAGATTGTCATTAAAATGGACAGGGGAGGTTGCTGTAATTTGAACAAGGCCTCACTGTCATCAGCATCACAAGCACCAGAAACTGAAAATCAGTGTCATGCTTTTGGGAGAAACAGTGCCATTAACACTGAGTTGTGCCATGGGGAAACAGTTTCCCCTGAGTTCTCTCTCTTATATGTACGTACATAGACAGACATACCCACGTACATTTGCAAGTGCTATACCCATGTCCATAAAAGCATCCATGAAGAAGATTTGGGACTGAAGTCACTGTTGGTACAAGCCCATGGAAGTAATGGTGGCTTAAAACAAGCTCAAATTTGGTACTAGTTTGCAAATACATCATTAATATTTCAAATGACACATGTAGATAAGTTTGCACACACATCACCTCAGAATACTTGTTGAGAAAATGTAAACTCTCTGCTCGCAGCCTAGCAAGGAGTGTTAAAAGGAGTGCAACAGAAGGGTTCCTACACAAAGAGCTCACAGGTGATTCACTCTTGTTCAGTCTTGATACATTATGTTGGAGTGCTCCAGTATGCCCAGATTCTTACTACTTGTGAGAGGGAAGGAGTGGGATGCCATATTTTGCTCTTGATATTGTGACTTCTTACAAACCAAGTGAAGCACCATGACAGTTTATCAGGAAAGGTCATTTAATGATTTCTTACAACAGGGTAGCTCTCTTACTACAAGTGCTCACGAGGGCAGAGGAGGTAAATTAGCTTTTCATGCTCACCATTTCCAGTGGCTTGCTTCAATACTAATGTAATCATGGCTAGGCTTCGTGAACGAAGATTTGGGAAGGCTCTATCCACATCTGTTACAGACTAATGTAATAATAAGGAAGGAAACTAACATCTGCCATTTTGGGACCTAATACTTACTTTTCTTTAGTTGTTCTTGAGTCGTGTTTACAGAGGTTGTTTGTGTGAAATATGCACGTCCTTGCCAGAAGCAAGTCCTGTTTTACACAAGACCCCATGCAACCACTCAACATTGGACATCCATAAGCCCCCTTCCTTCCCAGCTCCCAACAATGCCAACCAGAGATCACAGAACAAAAAGATTGGGCGAGCAGCCAAGTAACAGTAACAGAAAGGACATCATGCAGAGCATCAGAGTGAGCAAGAGATACTGAGGAGGACATCCATTCCTGAGGGTACATTATGACGGGTCATGGGCTGGCAGTGACCAAATAGATTCCTTGCATTGCAAAAGGAAATGCAAGGAGCAACGGCAGCTAAAGAAAAAAGAGGGAGGGGAAAAATGCAGCTAGACAAATCTCTTCCATTGCAGGCAGAGGTGAAGTCATCATAGCAGAAACAATTAAAAAAAATAAATCCTTCTTCAGGAAAATCTTGACCAAGGCTAAGAACAAGGAAGAATGCCATAACAGCTACAGGCATCTATTTAACTGGAGATGCCAGGGTTTGTGTAAGATGTCATAGGAAAGATGTGCATGCTCTGGCATTACAGGTGACTGACTGTATCATTCTCTTACACTTGCCAATTAAAAACCAAAGACTTGCCTTCATTTTTAAAGTATGTTGCTCTCAAGTCAACTTGATAATTCCTACAGACATTTTAAAGGACTGCCTTGGTGGCAAACATCTTTCTTAGCACTACATTTCTGAGTGAGGCTTTGCACATTGGGATGATATACCTGTTGTCAGACTCCCTCAATGAAAATGGGGCCTCTCCTATAACCTTGATAACCCAAATCTCTGGTGACATTTCTTTTACCTTCCACATACACTGAAAGAAAAGGAGTCTTTGTTCAGGCACTCACAGAACTTCACTTTGCAACACAAACAGTGTGAAACTAAAAGACTCCAGAACTGCATATAAACCATGAATGGAACCGGATCAACTTGACCCCCTTATCTGGTATATAGATTAAAAATCATCACTTCACAATTGATAGTTTTTGTGGCATGATTATTGGGGAAGGCTGTCCACCACAGCAAATAAATACTCACTGTTTACGGTACCTGCTAGTGCATTAATATTATTCAATCCAACAGTGGCTCCAGCCAGTCCTTGGAGAGTACCCAGAGAAGTCAAAGAATTCATGGCCGCACCAGCTGTGGAATTAGCAGTTGATGCAGCCACTGAAAGGAAAAAAAACAAAGCAAAATTAAGGCCATATTTTGTTTATTTCAGTTGATCACAGAACAGCTTACAATAATGTGGAGAACAACAACAGGGCTACTCACAAGAAGAAGAAAAAAAGAAATGAGGCCAACAGACAAACATTATTCAAGATATTAATAGTATGATTGTTCATGGAAAGTGTTGGTAAGCCTAGAACTGCAAATACTAGATCACCAAATTGTACTATTATTTGCAAACATGATACTGAAACAGTAAGAATGGGATCAGGCACTTTTTCAAAAGTTTGTCAATCAACCTAGCATCCCTGACTAGGCTAACTAGGCTACTGGGATTTTGCCACACTTCAAAGTCCATCATTGAAAAAACAAGAATTACTCATAGTAATTTTTTCATAAAACAGCTTACTCCTCTGGGCCTCAAGTGTCCTAAGAAGAAGTTTAATTATTCTCAGTGAGACACTACGTTCTAGGACACTGTATGAATATAATTCAAAGACCTGAAGTTTAGAAAAAGAAGAATGACCAGGCAAATACAAAATGTAACTACCCTCCATTTTATTGCAGGCTTTTAGCCTGGCCTTTGTACATAGTTAGTCATGTACATGCACCCCAGTGGTATCTTATGTGTCCCCAAAAGCTCTGTCAGAGTGGAAAGGGTGGAGAAAATGTCCTTACTGATACAATGTCAAGGGAGTGATGAAGGTGGGCGAGATGAATCCATTTAAACTACATGTTTAGGAACAGAAAGAGACTTACTCTCTTGTCATAGGAAAGTAATAAAGTACCTTGGAAAGAGTCATCATTTAGGATAGGTCATGTGAACTAGAAATACCTGTCTCTTTCACAGAAGAGCCCTGAATAACCAATGTAGATTAAACACTTAACTTACGGGTAGGTAAAGTTACACCAGATGAATCACACTCATAAAAGCTGCAGAAGCAATTAGGTTTATAGCTTGTCTCCTGGGCCCTACTTTACTGCATCAATCAGAAAGACTTCCTTTCATTTCTGTTATAAAGTTGCATTATCTTCTGAAAAGTGAACATTTAAAGTCAGAGTTTTGCTGATGATGTATTGGAAGCACATCATGTCTACACCACACTTTTTGCTCCTATTCATTACCTGGCTATGAAATGGTTAAGAGCACTTTTATCTTGATGCTCTTTTGGGCTGTCAAACACATCAGATTACTCAGTGAACCCTCAAGAAAGTGAAGTCTCTAGAGCTGACAGCATCCAGCAAGGAAAGTAGGAGGTAACTTTTCCACTTTGTAGGTAAACCTTGAAGCTCTAACCGACAAATAACCCACCTTTACAACACTAAGACCCAGCAAAGAAAAGTCTTCAAACTCATGAGGCCTCAAAGTACAAAGAACATTCTTGGTGCGGGTGAAGAGAGATTTCCAGACTCTGTTATGCATCCCTCATCTCCCAGCATCTGCAATCTCAGCTTGAATAATTTTATATGTTGCAGATAGAAGCAACTTTGATGATTCAATCTGGTCCCATAAAGCAATAAGAGTCCAATAATGTCTTTGATTAAAAAAAGTAATAAAAACCAAGTAAAAAATCCCACTTTTGTCAGACAATGTGAGCACCAACAGAGAAGAGAGGACAAAACCAAAGTGAATTCCCTGTGACCAACACTGCTCTGTGTTTCTATTAATGTTCATTAGTAAATCAGTTAAATGAAGTATATAAACCTCAAATGTGAAGGATCTGATTGGTTTTGACTGGACTAAATTCCATCCATTTTCTGTTTCAGAGGATTTTTACTATTTTTTCTTGAGGAAACACATATACTTAAGAAACGAGAGAAATGGGGGCTAGGAAACTGCCTGTAAATTACATTCAAGCTGGGGGCAAATAACTCCTGTGAACAAGAGCCATATACTTATGGATTGTCAACACATCTGTTGGAGAGGGCAAAAAAAAATTGCTTAAATCCTTCCCTCTTGTGCAGCCCACAGTGTGTTGTGGTGCCCCTTATCATGCTCTGACTGTGAAACACATGTTCCAGGGATGGTCAGTATCTGGGGCCAACATCTCTTTTCTTCTTTTACTTGTATCAGGTTTCTCTATTGCATCAGACAAATACAGAGTAGGTGCCTCAGTGCTTCTCCCATTTGAAGCTGCAATGCAGATGATTTGCCTAAATAATGACTTGGTACATAATCAGTGCAGAATACTCGTTGGAGCACTAAAGCACCTCAGAAACCAGCATTTTGTTGTTGTGGCTATTTCTTCTGCTTGGCAGTGATCTGCCTCACAGATCCGGTGGGCCAGTGCTTTTTTCTCTTTGGCTTATTATTTCTTTGAGGAGAAAGAAACTGAACAAATTGTGTGGTTTCCATTATCTTACTGGACAGGGGGTGAACAGAAATGAAGGGAGCTCCTTTTGCTAGGGCACTTGGGCAGATCCAGCACCTTCTTCATGAGGCTTTCTGAGAGACTCCACACTAGTTGATTGAGACCTGCTTGAAGATGAAGACAGTGCTGAGCTACACTACTATCATGAAGGGGACACAAAAGGTCCAAGCTATTAAGAGAGGTGAAAATTTCCAACCAAATGCTGTATAAAATCAACAGATGAAGCAATGGTATGCCTTGTTCCCCCCAAAATTAAAGGCAGATGAAACTGAAGTTAAGGGTCTTACAAGACGTGTGAGGGCTTAGACCAGCTGAAAGTTTTTACTTCACGTGCTCCCAGAATATGTTGAAATCCATCTATTGATAAGGACTATGCTTCCCCTGTCCTTTACCATTTCCTAGTTCCTTTCAAGTAAAAAATTGTAACATACATTGATACGAATGGAAAGAAGAAAAATCACATGCCTTGTGGTAACAGCAGATGACTGCAGCACTTTGGAGGAACCTGTATAACTCTCCCGTGTCAGCAAAACTCTTGGGCTCCACAAATGCTCAGGGTAATGGCAAGGGAAGAATAATTCGTGCTGGAATACTGTTATTCTATATTTATGTCTTTTAGTTGTCCAGATGACAAAAGTAGATTGGATACCCACAGACTTTATAAACTGGTTTTTACCAGGTTGTCCTGCCACCAAGTACATGAAAACACTTCACAACTCCCTCCATCCTCCACGCCAACACATTGCTGCTCTGAAGTGGATCACTTCATAGTGCTGCTTCATAAAGAGCAGGCATCTCTCTCCAGGAACTTGAAGTACAGAGCTGTAGTGCCACCAGGAATTGCCCTCTGTGCTGCTGGTGCACAAGCATTTGGTGCAACAGTGAGGAAAATCTAACATAGAAAACAAATGCAAATGACTCTGACTTTTGGTGTCACTCAGTGTGGCACACCCTGCATCCACAACATTCGGTGGTGTATTGTTTTTCTCTTTATAGTGGGAATTTTATCCTTGCCTCCTGTGGTGGTGATACTGAAGCTAAGGGGAAAGACTGAGCAGACTGGAGATCCAACTGGTTGAATGCTGGCTGGAGATTCAACACTTGGTGAAGAACAGAGATCCCTTTTACCAGCTGCACCAATCATTCCCCACTCACAATCTTAATCTCTGGATAAACATCAAAACGTGAAAGATAAGATTTCTTCTACTCAAAGCAACTTTTTTCTTTCTAATATATGACATTGCAATAAGTTGATGACTTTCTCAAAGAAGGTGTTGCTCAATCAGAACCTATTGGCAGGAGTTACAGGGTTGAATCTTTTGGCTGTTGCTGCAAGACTTCAAAAAAGATATTCACTGTATTCCCCCCCACCTTAAAAATCTACTAATATGTGAAAATAATATCACAGTATTGCCTAAAGAGGTCAGTTTAGACTTCTAAAAGTCAAGAGTTGCCCAGAAGCCTGTAGAAAAATCTGCTTTTTCTTACAGGTACACTGCATGTTGCCTTCTCCATCCACACCACATACAGAGACCCTACAGAACACTTTTGCATCTCCAACCGTGAAAGGTAAGAAGGTTAAAAGTGTTTATTTTACTATTAGAGACCTTACTGTTTCTTCTTCATTGACCTGTCTATTCCCACATTTCTGTGCCAGTCTCACACCCTTCCTCCTCCTTATTCTAAACTCAATTTCATCTTAATAAACACCTAGAAAACTTTGAAAAATAGAAATTACATTTTTAAGAAGCTCTGAAATGGAGAAGGGCAGGGTTGCAGCCTTTCCCCAAAACCCTCCCCAAATCAATCCCAACACCAGCCATTTGATCTCACTGTGGTTCCTCTGTTTAACTGATGAAATTTTTATTACCAGCTTCGTTATGAATAAAGAGACTCGGCCTTTGGTTAATATATTCTCTAAAAGACTTTTTCTTGATGCAGAGAACACATTTTCATTTGGAGTGGTTGCACTACACAATACAGATATTTGTGTTTAACCAGTAATGTTGCACTCAGAGATTTTTAAGGCTGGAAGGATCTGGCATTTTCAACTTTCTCCTCAAAGCATTTACTTCTGCCTGTAAAAGGTTATAACACCTTTTAGGTCAGAGATTGTTTTTTAAACAGAAATCTAAACTAACAATGAGCTATTTCCCTTTTAATTTAAATAACATTTCAATGTAATTCCTGTAAACTATGCCAACCTAGAAAAACAACCAGTATTAGCATAGAAACTTTTGGCCATTCTTTTGGCTAGCTAATGTCAATAGAGTCATGATGATTTACATCATCTGGATTTACCTCAGCTGGAAAACTAGATTCAGGATAACAGCATCTAGGAAAGGCAATGATGTGTAAATATTTCTTTGGCTTTGCTATGCACACTGTGGATAGAATTAATTTCCCCATCTTTGGCAGCCTTGTTGTTAGTTTAAGCTAGTCTAGTCCAAACTATTCTTTTCAACTGCCTCTGAGATTTAAAGACCTCCAATTCAGAACCTTTAGATTTCTATCTCAGCTTGGGCTGAATTGCCCTAAAGAGCACAAAGATGAGCTCAACTACCAGATGCTGTTGATGCCTTTCCCGTTCTGCCTCAAGCTTCTTGTGCTGCCCTGGATAAAGCACTT